TGCGGCCTAGCATTACTATACTTGTGGGGACCTAAATCTGTTTACACAGTCACGTGTGGGGACTCGCCTCCCTTATGGGGACAAATTGGAGGTCCCCATAAGGGGAATCATTAATTTTAGGGTGAAGACTAGGTTAGGTTTAGGATTAGGGTAAGGTTAAGGGTAAGGTTAAGGGTAAGGGTTAGGGTTAGGCATGTGTTGGTTAAGGTTAGGATAAGTCTCCAGGAAATGCATGTAAGTCAATGTAATGTCCCCTGAAGTGATGTATACATGGTATGTGTGTGTGTGTGTGAGAGAGATCTGATTAGAGAAGTCTTTCTTAAGATAAATCATTTAGCTGTCAGTGATCATTGATAAAAACCTGAACAAAAGACACACATGTAAAAACAACGACATATCAACTTCCAAAAACACTTCACCTCCAAACAGAATCTCATCGGCTCGTTCACACAACATATTAGTTTGTTCTGAATCTCTTTGCCATGTGTATAATCTTTACTGACAAAGACAAACCTGAGTCTAGGCCCTCTGTGTGCGTGCACACACACACACACACACACACACACACACACACACACACACACACACACACACACACACACACACACACACACACACACACACACACACACACACACACACACACACACACACACACACCACACACACACACACACACACACACACACACACACACACACACACACCACACACACACACACACACACACACACACACACACACACACACACACACACACACACACACACACACACACACACACACACACACACACACACACACACACAGTAATAACAGTATCTGTGTAAACACACTCAGGTCTCACTAATGGCCCGTCTGAGCACACACACTCTGTCAGTAAGTGATGGAGGTTTCTTCTTTGATGGTGTGTGTTATTGTAGAGGCAGGTCGAGACAGGAAGCTGCTGTAATCACACACACGTCACCTGAGCACAGGCCCGGTTCTACGGGGGTGCATAAGGGTGCATTGCACCCTCAGTTGAGTCATTATGCACCCTCATTTGAAAAATGAAAAGTAAAAAAAAAAAAATGTGAAAAATATTAAATATATAATAATAGTAATAAGAAGAAGAAGAAGAAGAAGAAGAAGATAGTTGAAATAAAATAAATTGTAATTGTGGTTAAATAACTTTGTCTGCTGCATTTATTTGGTCAATTTAAACGGTAAGTAACGTTATTATGTCAGGTGCGCGTGACCTGTGCCGCTGCACGTTCATCATCTGCAAGGTGCTTACACAGCAGTCAATGATGGACATCAGAAAATTGTTAAAACAACCAGCCCTTATCGCCAGCAGTAACACTGCATCTACTGCAAGTAATAACAGTTCAGATCATGGGGACATTACGTTACCCGCGGCCACTGTCGTGGACAATAACGTCCTCCCGCCCGACTCGCCGGCTTTGCCCGCCTCACCCACGGAGGCGGAGCAGCCGCAGCGGTCTTCGTTGCCCCAAACACCGCCACCCCTCGGCGGCCCGCAAGTGCCAGAGGACCTCGGCAAAACAGAGCCTGCCCAGGTATATTTAAAAAAGTACCTAACTCACCTGTACAGTGGGGTAAGGTGCTCATTTTACTGCTCATGGTTTCAAAACAGAGATTGGCTGGAATATTCATGTAAAACAGATGCCATCTTCTGCTATGCATGTAGACATTTCGGTTCAAGTACGTCAGATACCTTCACCACAACTGGCTACAACAACTGGCGCCATGCTCTTGTACGTGATAAGGGACTGAGAAGGCATGAATCAAGCAAAGAGCACATAGATCCATAGATCTCTTCATTTTGCTCTCAAAGTGCACCAGATTGATGCTTTTAACTTCAATATTTAAAACAAAAAAATTCCCGGGGGCGCATGCCCCGGACCCCCCTAGAGGGTGTTAGGTCCACTCCCCACTTATAAAAAATAGCACTTTACCACTGCACCCTCTCTAATCTCAGATGCACCCTGAGTCATTTTGTTCTGGAAACTGAGTCTGCTCTAAACTCTCAGGTGAGTCTGCTCTAAACTCTCAGGTGAGTCTGCTCTCAGGTGAATCTGCTCTAAACTCTCAGGCGAGTCTGCTCTCAGGTGAGTCTGCTCTAAACTCTCAGGTGAGTCTGCTCTCAGGTGAATCTGCTCTAAATTCTCAGGCGAGTCTGCTCTCAGGTGAGTCTGCTCTAAACTCTCAGGTGAGTCTGCTCTAAACTCTCAGGTGAGTCTGCTCTAAACTCTCAGGTGAGTCTGCTCTAAACTCTCAGGTGAGTCTGCTCTAAACTCTCAGGCGAGTCTGCTCTCAGGTGAGTCTGCTCTAAACTCTCAGGTGAGTCTGCTCTCAGGCGAGTCTGCTCTAAACTCTCAGGTGAGTCTGCTCTCAGGTGAGTCTGCTCTAAACTCTCAGGCGAGTCTGCTCTCAGGTGAGTCTGCTCTAAACTCTCAGGTGAGTCTGCTCTCAGGTGAGTCTGCTTTAAACTCTCAGGTGAGTCTGCTCTAAACTCTCAGGTGAGTCTGCTCTAAACTCTCAGGTGAGTCTGCTCTCAGGCGAGTCTGCTCTAAACCCTCAGGTGAGTCTGCTCTAAACCCTCAGGCGAGTCTGCTCTAAACTCTCAGGCGAGTCTGCTCTAAACTCTCAGGCGAGTCTGCTCTAAACCCTCAGGCGAGTCTGCTCTAAACTCTCAGGCGAGTCTGCTCTAAACTCTCAGGCGAGTCTGCTCTAAACTCTCAGGTGAGTCTGCTCTAAACTCTCAGGCGAGTCTGCTCTAAACTCTGCTCTAAACTCTCAGGTGAGTCTGCTCTAAACTCTCAGGTGAGTCTGCTCTCAGGTGAGTCTGCTCTAAACTCTCAGGCGAGTCTGCTCTAAACTCTCAGGCGAGTCTGCTCTCAGGTGAGTCTGCTCTAAACTCTCAGGCGAGTCTGCTCTAAACTCTCAGGCGAGTCTGCTCTAAACTCTCAGGCGAGTCTGATCTAAACTCTCAGGCGAGTCTGCTCTAAACTCTCAGGTGAGTCTGCTCTAAACTCTCAGGTGAGTCTGCTCTCAGGTGAGTCTGCTCTAAACTCTCAGGCGAGTCTGCTCTAAACTCTCAGGTGAGTCTGCTCTAAACTCTCAGGTGAGTCTGCTCTAAACTCTCAGGTGAGTCTGCTCTAAACTCTCAGGTGAGTCTGCTCTAAACTCTCAGGCGAGTGTGCTCTAAACTCTCAGGCGAGTCTGCTCTAAACTCTCAGGCGAGTCTGCTCTAAACTCTCAGGCGAGTCTGCTCTAAACTCTCAGGCGAGTCTGCTCTAAACTCTCAGGCGAGTTTGCTCTAAACTCTCAGGCGAGTCTGCTCTAAACTCTCAGGTGAGTCTGCTCTAAACTCTCAGGTGAGTCTGCTCTCAGGTGAGTCTGCTCTAAACTCTCAGGCGAGTCTGCTCTAAACTCTCAGGTGAGTCTGCTCTAAACTCTCAGGCGAGTCTGCTCTAAACTCTCAGGCGAGTCTGCTCTAAACTCTCAGGTGAGTCTGCTCTAAACTCTCAGGTGAGTCTGCTCTAAACTCTCAGGTGAGTCTGCTCTAAACTCTCAGGTGAGTCTGCTCTAAACCCTCAGGTGAGTCTGCTCTAAACTCTCAGGCGAGTCTGCTCTAAACTCTCAGGTGAGTCTGCTCTCAGGCGAGTCTGCTCTAAACTCTCAGGTGAGTCTGCTCTAAACTCTCAGGTGAGTCTGCTCTAAACCCTCAGGTGAGTCTGCTCTAAACTCTCAGGCGAGTCTGCTCTAAACTCTCAGGTGAGTCTGCTTTCAGGTGAGTCTGCTCTAAACTCTCAGGCGAGTCTGCTCTAAACTCTCAGGTGAGTCTGCTCTAAACTCTCAGGTGAGTCTCCTCTAAACTCTCAGGCGAGTCTGCTCTAAACTCTCAGGTGAGTCTGCTCTCAGGCGAGTCTGCTCTAAACTCTCAGGTGAGTCTGCTCTCAGGTGAGTCTGCTCTAAACTCTCAGGCGAGTCTGCTCTAAACTCTCAGGTGAGTCTGCTCTCAGGTGAGTCTGCTCTAAACTCTCAGGCGAGTCTGCTCTCAGGTGAGTCTGCTCTAAACTCTCAGGCGAGTCTGCTCTAAACTCTCAGGCGAGTCTGCTCTAAACTCTCAGGTGAGTCTGCTCTAAACTCTTATCCCACAGTGCTCCTAGAGGAAGGTTTAATGTAAAGCAAGTATTAAATCATGTTGGGAGTAAAAGGTGTTTTCTGTAGATCAATGAAACCATTCATTCATTCTGTTTTCCATGATTTACATTTGATATCAGCTCATCAGTAGAGACCAAACCTCTTCAATGAATTCACCTTCTAAAGATATTCATCAGTAGAGACCAAACCTCTTCAATGAATTCACCTTCTAAAGATATTCATCAGTAGAGACCAAACCTCTTCAATGAATTCACCTTCTAAAGATATTCATCAGTAGAGACCAAACCTCTTCAATGAATTCACCTTCTAAAGATATTCATCAGTAGAGACCAAACCTCTTCAATGAATTCACCTTCTAAAGATATTCATCAGTAGAGACCAAACCTCTTCAATGAATTCACCTTCTAAAGATATTCATTACAGAAGAGTTGGCGTCACATGTTGGAGATTTTAATCCAATAATTCAGCAAAAAATGTTTTTACATTTTCTCCAGAAAAATCTTAGAATTTAAGAAAAAAAAAGCCTGAGAGGAACTTAGAATCATTAGGGAAAACAAATCGGGAAGTTGCAAAAAATTATTGTTACAGTGGAGGAAGGGAGTGGGGAGGGGTGTCTAAAGTCAAAGATGAATCTTGATTGGGTCAAATTTGACCCCGAGTCACCCAAAACAATTCTGCTGGGTCTCCCCAGACCCCAACACCAAGTGATACACTTTTTTTTTTAGAGACCTTCAGACTTGGCTCAAAATCAGTGTTGTAGTGTTGATAAAGCTGTTGTGTTATTATATAATTGAACTTGAGACCCCAACACAACATAGAAACCACACGTCTGCCATTTTCCCTCTGTTTATTTTTCTTTCAAATTAACACATCAAAATAAAACTCTCCATCCTCCCGTCAGAAACTCTAAACTTCCAGCTTCATTTCTTTAAAAATATATCGACGACGGAGACGATCCTTCAGATAAAGTGCGTAAAGTCTGAGAGAAATGTGGAGCTCTGAGACGAATCAGAGCTTCCGAATAAAACAGATTAAAGTTCAACGCAGCAGAAACATTAATATCCTCTCGCAGTGAAACCTTTAACAACGGGAGGAAGGTAGAAGGTGTGTTTCTGCTCATTACATTAGATTCTTATCATCCTCTCATTAACGGCATGTTTCACTCTGAAGCCCAAAAAGTGTGTTTCTTTAACCTAAAAGAACAAAGTGGAAGATAAACATGTGAAGGATCATTTTTTATGTGGCTCTAAATACATTTAAAATGTATATATTATGGATTTAAATAATCAGAGTTGAATCTGTCCTGAGCGATTCCACTTCGGAAACAAACTATTTGTTGTCAAAGGATGTATTTAACCATATGTTTATATTTCAGGGTTATATTTGTAATCGCCATATTCTATTTATTTAAATGTGTTTTGAGAATGTGTAGATTGTCATCCTGTGTGTTAACGCCTGCATGCTTTGTGTATCATATTAATGAGGATAATAATAGAGTCTCGCTGCTCCACAGGTGACGACTTTCTCTGCTGTTGATTTTTAGTCGATTTTGGATTGTGTTGATCCAGACATCAGTTCATTGATCAGTCCGTGTCCAGGTGTCAGGTGTCCAGGTGTCAGGTGTCCAGGTGTTTCTGAATCACTGTCGTCTCTACAGGCCGAGCGACTTCCTCACGATGTTCTGAGCAAGGCTGTAGAACTGCTGCCGGTCTTCACGCCACATCTTAGAGGCGTCAACGTTCGCTCCACTCTCATCGTTCGGCTCTGAGAGGAGGGAGGAGACGAGGGAACAAGGGAGGAGACGAGGGAAGAGACAAGGGAGGAGACAAGGGAGGACATTAGGGTGAGTCTTTATGAAATTGTAATAACTCCTGTAACAGCAGTGTAACAGCAGTGTTACAGCACTATAACAGCACTGTAACAGCACTGTAACAGCACTAACAGCACTATAACAGCAGTGTAACAGCACTGTAACAGCACTGTAACAGCAGTGTTACAGCACTGTAACAGCGCTGTAACAGCACTGTAACAGCACTATCACAGCACTGTAACAGCACTATCACAGCACTGTAACAACACTGTAACAGCAGTGTAACAGCACTGTAACAGCAGTGTAACAGCACTGTAACAGCACTGTAACAGCAGTGTTACAGCACTGTAACAGCACTGTAACAGCACTGTAACAGCACTATCACAGCACTGTAACAGCACTATCACAGCACTGTAACAACACTGTAACAGCAGTGTAACAGCACTGTAACAGCAGTGTAACAGCACTATAACAGCAGTGTAACAGCACTGTAACAGCACTGTAACAGCAGTGTAACAGCACTATAACAGCACTGTAACAGCACTGTAACAGCACTGTAACAGCACTGTAACAGCAGTGTAACAGCACTATCACAGCACTGTAACAGCACTGTAACAGCACTGTAACAGCAGTGTAAAAGCACTGTAACAGCACTGTAACAGCACTGTAACAGCACTGTAACAGCAGTGTAACAGCACTATAACAGCACTGTAACAGCAGTGTAACAGCACTATAACAGCAGTGTAACAGCACTGTAACAGCACTGTAACAGCAGTGTAACAGCAGTGTAACAGCACTATAACAGCACTGTAACAGCACTGTAACAGCACTGTAACAGCAGTGTAACAGCACTATAACAGCAGTGTAACAGCACTGTAACAGCACTGTAACAGCAGTGTAACAGCACTGTAACAGCAGTGTAACAGCAGTGTAACAGCACTATCACAGCACTGTAACAGCACTATCACAGCACTGTAACAGCACTATCACAGCACTGTAACAGCACTGTAACAGCAGTGTAAAAGCACGGTAACAGCACTGTAACAGCAGTGTAAAAGCACTGTAACAGCACTGTAACAGCAGTGTAACAGCACTGTAACAGCACTGTAACAGCACTGTAACAGCACTGTAAAAGCACTGTAACAGCACTGTAACAACACTGTAACAACACTGTAACAGCACTGTAACAGCACTGTAACAGCAGTGTAAAAGCACTGTAACAGCAGTATAACAGCACTGTAACAGCACTGTAACAGCAGTGTAACAGCAGTGTAACAGCACTGTAACAGCACTGTAACAGCACTGTAACAGCAGTGTAACAGCAGTGTAACAGCACTGTAACAGCACTGTAACAGCAGTGTAACAGCACTATAACAACACTGTAACAGCACTGTAACAGCACTGTAACAGCAGTGTAACAGCACAGTGTAACAGCACTGTAACAACACTGTAACAGCACTGTAACAGCAGTGTAACAGCACTGTAACAGCAGTGTAAAAGCACTGTAACAGCAGTGTAAAAGCACTGTAACAGCACTGTAACAGCAGTGTAAAAGCACTGTAACAGCACTATAACAGCAGTGTAACAGCACTATAACAGCAGTGTAACAGCAGTGTAACAGCACTGTAACAGCACTGTAACAGCACTGTAACAACAGTGTAACAGCACTGTAACAGCACTGTAACAGCACTGTAACAACACTGTAACAACACTAACAGCACTGTAACAGCACTGTAACAGCAGTGTAAAAGCACTGCAACAGCAGTGTAACAGCACTGTAACAGCAGTGTAACAGCACTGTAACAGCACTGTAACAGCAGTGTAACAGCACTGTAACAGCACTGTAACAGCACTATAACAGCACTGTAACAGCAGTGTAACAGCACTGCAACAGCAGTGTAACAGCAGTGTAACAGCACTGTAACAGCACTGTAACAGCAGTGTAACAGCAGTGTAACAGCACTGTAACAGCACTGTAACAGCACTGCAACAGCAGTGTAACAGCACTGTAACAGCAGTGTAACAGCACTGTAACAGCACTGTAACAGCAGTGTAACAGCACTATAACAACACTATAACAGCACTGTAACAGCACTGTAACAGCACTGTAACAGCAGTGTAACAGCACTGTAACAGCACTATAACAGCAGTGTAACAGCACTGTAACAACACTGTAACAGCACTGTAACAGCACTGTAACAGCACTGTAACAGCAGTGTAATGTACCTGCAAGCATGCTGACCACAGACAGCAGGATCTTCTCCACGCTCTGCACTGGACTCCACCTCTCCGCGCTGCTCTCGTATCCCATTGGATCGTCTCCTGGAGCGTGAAGGATGGAGATACAGACCCTCCCATCAGGGTAGACTGGGGGAGAGGGGGGAGGGTTGAGTTCAGGTGCATATAATAACCAATACGGTTAATACTTTAATGGTCAGATCAAGACTGAAATGTGACTTGCATCACAGCAGCTCCATGTGTAACACCAACAGACATATCAAGACAAATAACAAACATCACAGCAGGATCAGTGAGAGCTGCTCACAGGGCCTTCAGCGTGCATCTGATCTGCAGCTCTGTGTTCACTGAGAGGACTGGAGCACAGAGGATGCTTCAGGCCGACTGGAGCACAGAGGATGCTTCAGGCTGACTGGAGCACAAAGGATGCTTCAGGCTGACTGGAGCACAAAGGATGCTTCAGGCTGACTGGAGCACAGAGGATGCTTCAGGCTGACTGGAGCACAAAGGATGCTTCAGGCTGACTGGAGCACAGAGGATGCTTCAGGCTGACTGGAGCACAGAGGATGCTTCAGGCTGACTGGAGCACAAAGGATGCTTCAGGCTGACTGGAGCACAGAGGATGCTTCAGGCTGACTGGAGCACAGAGGATGCTTCAGGCTGACTGGAGCACAAAGTATGCTTCAGGCTTACTGGAGCACAGAGGATGCTTCAGGCTGACTGGAGCACAAAGGATGCTTCAGGCTGACTGGAGCACAGAGGATGCTTCAGGCTGACTGGAGCACAAAGTATGCTTCAGGCTGACTGGAGCACAGAGGATGCTTCAGACTGACTGGAGCACAGAGGATGCTTCAGGCTGACTTTATTGATCTCCATTAGATGGTAGCAGCTCAGATTCTCTGTCAGAGCATGCTGTGGGTCCCAGAGGATGCTGCTGGAGCCTCTCAGGTTATTATGGTCTGTGAGTCAGGAAGTCTCTGACAGGGTGACCAACAGTCTGTGAGCAGATTTGTAACAGGTGAAGCATCAGGAGAGGGGGGAGTGTTGAGTTCAGGTGCATTAAACTATCAGACCGACACACCTGAAGAAGCTTCAGTCTGAAACAGGTCTTTCTTAGAGAACAATATCAGTCTGTTGTTTTGTTCAGTTGGCATATTGGATTATATCGCACAGTGATTACGGTACATAAAACACTTCTGACATTTCCCTTATTTTTCTCCATTCCCATCATCAACAACGAGCTGCTTTGGAATCACAGTCGAGACATGAGTAACTCCTGGAGTAAAGCATTCATAACTCCTGTAATAATATAGTAAGAACTACTTTAAATCAATGTAAAAACGCCTAAACAACAGTCATAGAAGAAACCACGTAGTTCTTTGTTGTTTTTCTAAACTTCTGTTATTGGAAGCCGGTACGCTTTTCACTTCAGATTTCCCGCTGTTTTCCCCGCTGTTTGCGTTTAAACTTCAGAGGCTTTTCGTTTAAAAGTATTTTCTTATAAACTTTATTCAATAAAATTGTAATTTTTTTTCTTTATAAATCAAAGAGCTTCTGCTTTAAAAGGAAAGACACTTTTTAGACTGAAAGTAAAAACCTTTTTCAAAAACACTTTTTAATGAAATACATGGCGCCTCTTTTTACGTTAACTTTATAAATCCAGATGATTTTTAAACTGAAACTTGAGATGCTATTTCCCAGACGCTGTGGTGTCTCTGGGGATTCGGGAGGAACCGAGATATTCACAGGGAGTTTGAGTTTCTGTGAGGCAGAGATTATCAGAGAATCAAACATCTGACGCTTCTTATCTGCGATCGAACAGCAACCTGCAGCCGCAGCGTTACTTTAATATGAAGCACACTTCAGAGGATCAGAGGATACATTCAGAAAGTTCAGCTGAGGGCCATGAGGGTGTGTGTGTGTGTGTGTGTGTCTCTCTGTGGTGTGTGTGTCTGTGTGTGTGCCTGTGTGTGTGCGTGTGTGTGTGTGTGTGTGTGTGTGTGTGGGTGCCTATGTGTGTGTGTGTGTGTGTGTGGTGTGTGTGATGAGGGGTCACCAGCGTCTCGTCCTATAATCAGACTCAGAGCGGCTGCAGTCCAGTAATCAGACGGTAATGACAGCATGCTAATGGACATGCTAACGGCATGCTAACGGTGTGTGTGTGTGCGCGTGCCTCGACACGAGGAACACTGAACACTGACTAGCTGACATCTCTCAGTGGATGTCTGCTCACCACCTCAAGCTCAACCTTGACAAGACTGAGCTGCTCTTCCTCCCGGGAAAAGATTGTCCCACTCTTGACCTAACAATCAACATCGGCACCTCAGTTGTTTCCCCGACTCAGACTGCAAGGAATCTGGGTGTGACCCTAGATAACAACCTGTCCTTCACTGCAAACATCGCTGCTACAACCCGTTGCTGCAGATACACGCTTTACAACATCAGGAAGATACGTCCCCAGCTGACTCAGAAAGCGACTCAGGTTCTGGTCCAGGCTCTCGTCATCTCACGCCTAGACTACTGCAACTCCCTCCTGGCTGGTCTACCTGCATGTGCCATCCGACCTCTGCAGCTCATCCAGAATGCAGCGGCTCGTCTGGTCTTCAACCTTCCTAAATTCTCCCACACCACTCCGCTCCTCCGCTCCCTTCACTGGCTTCCGGTAACTGCTAGAATCCACTTCAAGACACTGGTACTTGCTTACCATGCTGCGAATGGATCTGGCCCTTCCTACATCCAGGACATGGTTAAACCGTACACCCCAGCGCGTGCACTACACTCTGCATCAGCCAAACGACTCGTTGCGCCCTCGCTGCGAGGGGGACCCAAGTTCCCATCGGCGAAAACACGTGGGTTTGCTGTCCTGGCTCCAAGATGGTGGAATGAGCTCCCCATTGACATCAGGACGGCAGATAGCTTGCACTTCTTCCGGCGCAAACTGAAAACTCATCTCTTTCGACTCCACTTCGAGCGTTAGAACTATTAACGAAGCACTTTTATACTAATAAAGGACTGGCTTACCTAAAGCCAGTTGAGTAGCACTTGAAATGTTTGGCTCTATGAAACCTGATGTACTTATATGATTCTGTTTTCTTCAAGGTTGTGTCTTCCTGGTCGAATGTACTTATTGTAAGTCGCTTTGGATAAAAGCGTCAGCTAAATGCAATGTAATGTAATGTAATGTAACACACTCAGTCACAGTTTCAGCTCTGATCGTCAAACATCCTCAAACCTTTAAACAATCGCATTTCTTTAACTGCCATCGAGATGTATTCTGTTTTAATCATGAAACACTAAACTAAAGATTTTAAATGAGTAATCTCAAGAGTTCTGTAGGGAGCTGGTTTTCTGCTGCGTCATTTATCTGCATCTCTTGCATTCACTAAATAAAATATATAAATCATTACACTTTCCCTGAATCTCTGTATTTCTTTCTAATGCTGCGTTCACACCGGATGCGATGTTCGGGGGCGGCGCGATTACATGTAAAGTCAATGCAGAGACGCGGACAGACTCGCTCCGACGGCGAGCATGAAGCGGTTGATGCGAATGCTGCGGAAAGATTGAGGCGATTGGAGGGGGACGCGACACACGCTCAAGTTCAACTTTTAAACTCAAGCGTCAAATTCGCGTGACGCAATCTCACGGTAGCCAATCAGCGGTGAGGATCTCAGCCTGCCGTTAATGACGTAGAACCACAAAACCAAAACATCAGCCGTTAGCTGTTAGCACCGAGAGCTCACAGCTCCTCATGTCTGTTCAGAAACTAGACAAAAGTTAAACAAGTACAAACCACAGACTGCCCGTGTCATGGCAAATACATTCGCTGCTTTATTTATGTCTGTAGGCCGTTGCTGTGAGTGTGGACGGACCGAGCATATACTGCGTTAGCTTAGCCGATCTCCATTCAGACAACACGCATTTTAAAAGGTGTTTCTCTGCCGTCTGTCTGCAGACTTGTCAAAGCATTAATTCATGGTTTTTACTAACCGGTATTAGTATGTTGTTACTTCGGTATCATTTTGAAACGTGTATTACAATTAAAACACGGTCAAATATGTTCATTTTGTTGTAGTTGTAGCTCCCGAGCCAGCGCGTCTTGTTTGAATGATGCGAGTAAACACAGCTGACAGCCGCGGTGAAACTCAAGCGTTTAGATTCTTAGTCCTGTGTTAAATTTCCTTTTTAGTTTTAGTCATATTTAGTCACCTTCATCCTGTTTTGATTTAGTCAAGTTTTAGTCGACTAAAAGTCTGAGCATTTTAGTCTTATTTTAGTCAAAGAAAACTAATTATTTGAGTCTACTTTTTGTCAATGAAAACTGTTGAGTCTTTTTTTAGTCATCAGATTATATAGAACATTTCAGTCAAACTAGTCTAGCCAAAAGCAATAATTTGTCATTTTAGTCAAACTGTCACAATAAGATTATATATTGTCCTTATTTGATGAAAAACTCAGGCTGGATGATTAAGCAGCTTTGCAGAGAGTATCTGGTCAGGTTTGTGGTGTTGTTACCAGCTGTGTTTTGCCACATTGCTTCCCTTCTGATGAAACAATGCAGTAGCTTTTTTTCTCCGCCTCATTGTAGCGAAAATGGGCCCAAATATCGCATTGTTTCTTTCTCCCAAGCAGTGGTGGCTTTAGACTTTTTCGTTGTCAGTCATTTTGACGGACAGGATCGTAACATTTCCGTCATAATCCATTATTACCCGTCGAGTGCACAATTTATCAATCACTCGCGCTGACGGGGGGTATTCGGTTAACGCGACCACTGCTCCCAAGCCCTGTTGTTGCCATTTTATTTTCTGTTAAATAAGGTTAGTTAGACCATGAGTTAGACCCGAGTCTTCCTGACAGTTCACAGTGTGCCGCTGCCCGGTGTAATTCAAATGTGCCGCCGCGCGCAGCACCGACACACAGCTGCTGCCCAGCCGCAGCACAGACACACAGCTGCTGCCCAGCCGCAGCACAGACACACAGCTGCTTCCCAGCCGCAGCACAGACACACAGCTGCTTCCCAGCTGCAGCACCGACACACAGCTGCTGCCCAGCCGCAGCACAGACACACAGCTGCCGCCCAACCAGAGCACAGACACACAGCTGCCGCCCAGCCGCAGCACAGACACACAGCTGCCGCCCAGCCGCAGCACAGACACACAGCTGCCGCCCAGCCGCAGCACAGACACACAGCTGCCGCCCAGCCGCAGCACAGACACACAGCTGCCGCCCAGCCGCAGCACAGACACACAGCTGCCGCCCAGCCGCAGCACAGACACACAGCTGCCGCCCAGCCGCAGCACAGACACACAGCTGCTGCCCAGCCGCAGCACCGACACACAGCTGCTGCCCAGCCGCAGCACAGACACACAGCTGCTGCCCAGCCAGAGCACAGACACACAGCTGCTGCCCAGCAGCAGCACAGACACACAGCTCCTGTCCAGCCGCAGCACCGGTAATGGAACTGCTGGGAGAAAAACTGACTATCAGAGATGAAACGTTATCTTTGATAATATGTAGTCTAATTTTTCGTCAACAAAAGTAAAGAGAGATTTTGGCATAGTTTTTATTTAGTAAACTACATTTTCGTCTCGTCATCGTCTCGTTCTAGTCATGGAAAAAAAGGTAGTTGACGAACATATTTCGTCATAGTTTTAGTCAACGAAATGAACACTACAGTTTGAACGCAGCATTAGACTCATATTTGTAAAGTGAATTGAGAAGACGAACGAAAGCTAATTAATTTTGTATTTCCTGGTCCTTTCCCTCCTGATGCCACCTGTGTGTTTCCAGAGGACAGGTGACCCTCTGAGTCTCACCTGGACAGCAGGAGCATTAGAGAAGGAGAGAGGCCTTACTGTTGGGGTGGAACATGTCCAGGTGACCCTCTGAGTCTCACCTGGACAGCAGGAGCATTAGAGAAGGAGAGAGACCTTACTGTTGGGGTGGAACATGTCCAGGTGAACCTCTGAGTCTCACCTGGACAGCAGGAGCATTAGAGAAGGACAGAGACCTTACTGTTGGGGTGGAACATGTCCAGGTGAACCTCTGAGTCTCACCTGGACAGCAGGAGCATTAGAGAAGGACAGAGACCTTACTGTTGGGGTGGAACATGTCCAGGTGACCCTCTGAGTCTCACCTGGACAGCAGGAGCATTAGAGAAGGAGAGAGGCCTTACTGTTGGGGTGGAACATGTCCAGGTGACCCCCTGAGTCTCACCTGGACAGCAGGAGCATTAGAGAAGGAGAGAGACCTTACTGTTGGGGTGGAACATGTCCAGGTGACCCTCTGAGTCTCACCTGGACAGCAGGAGCATTAGAGAAGGAGAGAGGCCTTACGGCCCATCCACACTACAGCTTCAAAAAAAGCTTGGAGCTGGGCGCGTCTGAAGCTCGACCAACAACCAATCACATGAATCTCCCGCCCTTGACACACAAGCAGCGGTTTGATTGGCTAGAGCTTGTACTGGCATATGATTTGATTGGCTGGCGCTGGCTAGAGAAGGAGAGAGGCCTTACTGTTGGGGTGGAACATGTCGCAGGTGAACCTCATCTTGGGGGGGCTGAGGGGATAATCTGAGGGGAAGCTGAGGACGGCAGGGAACACGCCGCCTTCAAAGCATGTGTCCTGAGGACCCCTGAAGCACAACAGGAGGAAAGAGAAGGCATTGGACATTACAAATTAAAAGAAATAAACAAGAAAGTAGAAAATATACATGTTGAATTACAAAATGTACAGTAACACATATAAAGCAAGTTGGACGTAAATAATATGTTCACATGACCACATGTTCATCTTTGATTTCATTAATCTGTGCTGTTCTTCATTCTCTCCCTGATGCTGTTCAAATACTGAACTTCCCCACGGGGTTAA